TTCAGCTCTCCACACTATTGTAACATAACCATTAGTGGTCAAGTGCTGAGGTTTGTAGTTTACCCCAGTGTCACAAAAAAGCAGCCTGAGCTTCCAGGATTTCCAGGAATCTTTATATGCTAGATGAGAACAAATACAGGTTCAAGGGATTATGGTAGCTGAAAAGCAGGCCAGTTTGTTCAGACACCTGCATGGAAAAGCTACTAATAATGAGGCGGGCTCTACTAGGTTTTGGAGGGTCCCACATGCCTGCACCTAGCAGCTGAAAGGTTGGCTTGGGGTATCTTTCTAAAGCTTAGTTTAAAACAGCATGTATGTGAGCATTAGTTTTGAAATGCTTTGGCAGTAATTGAATATACAGTCACTGGGTTTGTTAATTTGATTTAATTTAACTTATCCAATAAAATGTAGAACAAAATTATCGTTATTTAATGAAAAGTGGGAATCAGAATGTCTGGTTCAGGGACAGCGTGAAGCTGATTAGAAAGAGTTTGGTGGGCCAGTTTTCTTGTTTCCTAAAGCAATTCTATCAGATTGCTACTTTCTCTATTATTTAAGGCAATAGTTTTGCATCTATTCTGTAAAACTCTCAATCACTTAAAATATTTTTGCCTGAAGACCGTATCTTCCTCCTGTACCTCTCAGTTCAGCCAGCTTTTTATAAAGAGTAGCGACTGTAAGAAACCAGATAATAGTGTTAGTGGCCTCAAAAGTAGCTTAATGGGCACATCTACATGTGCATTAATGTGCTGTGGTTACTGCGTGTTTAGTTCCTATAACAGGTACTAACTAAATATGCAGTAACTAGCGCTACTGGCCAATAGCACTGGTGTATGCCTTTTAAGTGATGCTCATGTGCGGTAGACTAATTCTACTGTGCATTAACACAATAGCATGGTTTTTGCCATGACATGCTAATGTACAGTAGAATTAGTCTACAGCGCATTTAGCAACTCATGTAGATGCGCCCAGTGAGGACTGTATTTCACAGCCACCTTCTCGCTTTGTTTCAAACAGACCTCAAAACTTTTTTGAATGTACATTAAAAAAAAATGCAATGATCCATGTAGATCATTCAGTCACTGTTGACTGAATAGCACAGTGCTCCTCCAGCTCATCATGCAAAAAGTCCAGGTTATCCTTCAAAGCAATAGATGTTGATTGCCCTGCAGCCCATACTAGCAGGGGTTACACACTCCCAGGCAGCATCAGGGCAAGCAATGGGCCCCTAGGCTGCATGCTGTGGGTATTCCCCCTCTCAACACTGCATGGTGCAGAAGCCCCTTTCCCCTCCACCACTGCATTCATGCAAGACCCGCTCTCCCACTGTACCATGTATCCACGCAGTCCCCTTCCCACCGTAAATGCTGCACTGTGTGCTTGTAGTCACCAGCTCACCCTCTACTCCCTTGCCCCCTGGGGTGGGGGCAGGCAGTGAAAGCCAGAGGAGGGAGGGTGAGCCCAGGTACTCCAGCTGCTGTTGCAGCCAGTGCAATGAGGAGAGCAGCAGCTACACAGAAGCCGGAGGGCTACAACTTAACTCCTTGCAGGCCACACACAGCCCAGGGGCCACCAGTTGGACAGCTCTGTGCTGAGTCATTGGTTCAGTAGGATCAGAAAGAAAACAACTTTTTAGCAAAGCACCTACACACCACCTAATTGTTTTCTAGAAGTATACTATTCAGTAGGGCTGTGTGAAGCTTTGGGTGGTGATTTGGTTCAGAGAAGATTTGGCCCAATTTGGTGGCTGAATCTCCAAATCCGAATTGAATCAGGGGACCAATTTAAAGGTCCAAATCGATTCAAAGAGCTCCGAATCTTCGGCAAAGATTTGGAGCGCTTTGATGATTTGGGCAGTCCCCATGGCTGCAGCAGGGAGCTG